CTGCGACAATCAATTTGACAATGAAGATGTTAAGCACTTTGATATTACTCAAGTTAAAGGTTACTGGAGGCAGAAATTCTCAGATACATTATACCCCTTCTGACGCAAAATCTAATGGAAGTTCTCCGCAATCTGATGACAAACTGGAAGAAGAGGACCTCCAGTTTACAACCGGAATTAGACCTAAGAAGAGGCTGCGCTGGGCAAAAGTTGATGGTGAAGGAGCTATTGAAACGGGATGTCTGAATGATAGTGGAAATGAAACTAAAAGAAAGGTTGGAAACAATTCCTTAAGACCTGTTGGCTCCACAGCCAGCAAAGAGGCAAAAGAAAACGCTTTACAATACTTAGCAGTAGGTTCTCAGGTTGAAATCCTCTCTCAGGACAGTGGCATCAGAGGCTGTTGGTTTAGAGCTTCGATCATAAAGAAGCACAAAAACAGGTGAAGTTGCGTATCAAGACATTCAGGATGCAGCTGATGAAGCTAGGAAGCTTGAGTATCTTCCATGACCATTGACTTCATATAATTTTGTAAGAATAACTGTTTGGTTGCGTTGAGTTTAACTTTTTTTATTTTTCCTCTTTGTTCCTTTATCATTCAGGAATGGGTTTCAGCTTCCAGAATTGCAGCGCGTGACCACTTGGATCTCCGCTTGAATGGACGGACTACAATTCGACCTGCTCCTCAGTCTAGTCTGTGCAAATTTTCTGGGGTGGTTAATGTTGGTTCTATTGTGGATGTCTGGAGGCATGATGGTTGGTGGGAAGGCATCGTTGTTCAGAAGGAGTCTGAAGCTACGTGTCATGTTTATTTCCCAGGTACAGCTAACATTTTTTCACTTGTTATCTCTCATCAATTGTCATTAATCTTAGTTCCCCGTAACCACCTTTTGTATTGTTGGTGCTATTCTTTTAACTTTTCTTCATTGTCACATTGTTGCAGGGGAGAAGTTTGTATTAATATTGGGATCTGGTGAGTTAAGGCGGGCTCAGGAATGGACAGGGAGTGGGTGGGTGCGAGTAAGGGAAAGGCCTGACCTTGTAAGTTCTATATTATCCAGCTTAAAAACATCACAAGATCCCAGCAAATCTGCTGCAGCCGCATGTGCCGGAGATGCTGTGCTTTCAAAGCAAAGGGTGAATAATACTAGCCTGAATCCTGAAAGTGATAAATCAAGAAAGCCGGAGCTGATTCCAGACCTTTCAAAGGATGATCTTCTTTCTCAGTTAAGATGGAAGTCATCTAGGAAGAGGGGCCGCAGCAGCAGCAGCGGATCAGGTCGAAACAACTGCAGAAAGTCCCCGGATTCCTCAGATCCCCATGCTTCGGACAGTTATATGATCGCAGCATCCTTGAAAGTGGTTGATCATGATGACTGCAAATACGGCAGGGGCGATCAAGCCATTTTCAGCTCTTCAGTGGTGCCCTCTTTAACTAACTTGGTCATGTGTAGGTGACTTGTGATTTTTATGCACTAGTTTGTTTAGTTAGTCTCCTTGGTTTCCCCCTCCTTTTCACCCTTCGAGAAGTACATACATAATACATACCCTCCTCTGCATCTGTTCGATGCATGTCTGCTCTTTACATGTTAGGTTGAGCTTTTGTTATTTATTTTGGGTAATCTTTTGGCATCGAAGCTTCAGTTGATTTTGGTGCTTGTATGGAATGTGGAAGCCCGAGGGAGGCAAGGATGATGCCTTGGAAGTTTTGGCCCAGAGTTTTAGGCGTAGTGGAATAACCGTGGTTGTATGAGAGTGACTTAGGTTTTGATATGCTGCAGTGCAATTTGTTTCCTAACCATATCTAATAACAACAACAGAGACATTGCCCCTTGTATTTTGTTTCTCTTCCTTCGTATTTATATTCTTAAGTTCTTTCGTCCCCCCCCCCCGGGGGGGAATTTTCATTTCAGTTCTATATATTTGCCACTCAATCCCAATTGTAATCTATTATCAAGATGTGGATTACAGAATACCGTTGACTCTGTATTTGCTGGAAAATCTCGGTTAAGTGAGAGTATGAGTGCGTCTTTGACGAGAGATTCTTGAATTGAGAATATTATGTGTTTTTCTCAGTTTGTGAACATTATCCTCATACCTTTTTCATTTTATGTGATGCGTATATTTTTATTTTGTATTTTAATTCAATTTATAATTTATTTTTTATAAACTTTCCTCAAATATTTTGATTGTCTTCTTTTCTTACTAAAAGAATTTTAAAAATTAGATAATTTGACCAGTTAACATCCATACGGACTTACGGAGATTTTGGCTTTTGGTTCAATCTCGTAAATGAATGAAATGGCTATTTTGCCCCCATTTTTTGTTTTCAGAATCTTCTCTCCCCCCCCCCCCCCCATCCATAATGCGGTGTCTTTAATTGGTTATATTTGAGGAAATAAACATTCAGCAATAAACTAATTGAGGGGTTTATATGCACGCGCTTGTGATCTCTTCATTTGGAGCGTGTAATTATTTTGATATAAGTCAGCATATAATTTTTTTCATATACTTATGCTGATTTTATAAATTATGATGTTTTTGAAAGTTTTAATCGTCATTCCAAACAAACCGCAAACCTCAAATGAAAACAGATCGTCAAATGGTGCAGTGGAAAAAAAAATTCTAGATTTTGTTAATGATTATACTCAGACTCATTTTTTTAGAATTTTTTTTTAAAAAAATTGCTACATGACAATAAAACGCAATATTTATATGTTAGTAATTAAAAATGCCTTCAGCATTCGTCACCAGTCATATATCTTTATAAATCATTAATATCGATATCATGAATGTATTTATAGAAGTTACAAGAAGCCACACGATTTAGAAGCCACACATAGTATGACTCATCTATATATAATTATATATAAATACATATGCCCTTCTAGTTGCAAAAAAATTATAAGATGAACATGAAAATTAACAAAGACTCGTCAAATAGTCAATGTAAGAGGCTACGCAAGTAGAGGGCGGTTGGTATTTGACTAAATTACAGGAAAAAAAAAAATACTACCTCCGGTTCTAATTATAAGAGCTAGTTGACTAATTTAAGGAGATTAAAGAAGTAAGTTGAGTTAGTTATTTATCCTAAATATGTGTTGTCTTTCCTAAAATATCCTTGTTAGTCAAGTGTATTGGCTAGAACTATCATTGTTAGAAGGATTACTTTGAAAAGAATAAATATGAGAGAAAAAGTAGATTGAGGTTTTATATTTAGGACCAAAATAAGCGTTAAACAAGATTTTATATTAAAGACCGGAGATAGTATAAGATGATCATCATGAGGTGTACATCAAAGGGGTAGAGTTTGATTAGTATGCATAGGATTACGACTGGAGCGATAAAAGTGGAATATTTTTATTTGCCAATAATAAAAGTGGAATATTAATGCCAAAAAATGACCCCAACGAAAATAAGCCAAAGAAATTAAAGAGCTTTTATGTTTGACTTGTGTCCCTCCGGAAGGAGCTGTTAATCTCCAGCTTGGATCCACTACGTACGTCATATGTTTATCATCTTCTAACGGATACATATCTCTCTCTCCTCCCTATTCATTTTTCCCCTACTTTGTCTTTCGTATAGAGAGTAAATTTGCTTTATACACAAAAGATAACTTCTAATTACTTGCTCAAGAAATGTGAACAATGACATGTACTGAAAAATGAGGCTTACCAACTCTTCATATTGCTACTTTAATATTTTATATTTTTATTTGATGGTTGGATTCTGCACACCAAATACATTTTCTTAAATCTATTTTCCCACGTTAATTAACGATTCTCTTTGTTTAATTTTTTTTTTTATAGTGACCAAGTCAAATCAAGCCAAAAAAAAAAGATCCTTTTTAGCAGAGCGTAAAAACAAAAGTCATTTTGTTGAAAAGAATACACTAGTCTATTATCTCAATTATCCTATTTTTCCTGTATGGGGACCCATGTGAGTGAGCCCCACTCGTTTATTTCTCACTTTCTCTACAAAACGGGAATCCATTCTCACAAAGAGGTAGATGCTTGGCTTTTTGCGGCTAATCTGAAGCTGCAATGTAAAAGTTTCCTCCATTAACTTAGTTAACTTAAATACATTAATAACTTCAGTAATTCTAATGCCTGATCTGAGAAGCAACCTCGGAAGGGAATCATTCTTGTGTTGAAAAAGTCCCAAATTAACTCAAGCAAGCACTTTGTGGGGTTGCAATTAAATAAAGAACCATCCTTTTCAACTTAGGCGCAGACCCATCTTTCACTTTACCAACTCTCCTCCTCCTGAAGCTACTGCAAGAAGCTTTCATGGAGATGGGATTGCCCTATCAGTACAGAAGAACCTAGCTGTTTATCCATCGTTTTCTTCGTCATGGGATTGGATGAACTTGGCATCTTAATAAAGTTATCATAAAGTGAGGCCTCTTTTCTGGTGGTTGTGTACGGATTCTCTTTTTTACAGGTATGGATTTTGACGACGGACCTGAGAAGCAAGAAGATGAAGTTAGTACTATAAAAATCTCAAATGGGTTTTCTATTTCTCGAGCTACCTTGGCTTCTATGGAGTCCTTGTCTCTGCCAATAGTACGTTCTGTTTCTTACTTGTTCTTTTTTCTGATGATCAGATATTTCTGGGTCTGTGTGTGATTTGGAGGTTGAAGAAGATGATGATGATGATGGGTTTGGATTTTTCTGGTGAAAAAAACAGGTTCAGGAGGTTGTTGTTTTTGCTGATATGCAATGTAAGAACTGCCAGAAGAGAGTTTCTGACATTATCACCAAAATGAACGGTACATTCACTTCCTTTTTTTCTTTGGTTACATATCACCTTCCAGTTTCGATTTACTGATTTGGTTCAGAATTTAGTATCAGAGGATTAGCATTTTCAGATTTTGTTGCAACCATTTCTCTGTTACATTCAAACTGGTTAAGTCAATATAATATCCTCTGGGTTTTGCCCAGAACTAAATCTCATTGCTGGGAAATTTCAGGAATATACTAAAACATCAGTTTCAATTAATTTATTTGTTACGTATATGATTGGTTTTGAAGGCTCAAAGAAACATTTTTTTTGAAGTATTATGGGTAATGAGAATGTCTTTTAAGTCACATAAAACTTAACCTGTTCTTGAAATAACCTAAAGAGGAAGGGAAGTAGAGAACAGTTCAAACCATGTGATTCTTATTACTTGCCACCATTAAATAGGCTGGCAATGGCTTAGGTTTTGGAATAATATGTTAATTTATGATTGTAATTATAATTATTATCTTCTGATCCATTCAGATATTCTCTTGTCTTTTTAACTCATTCTACCAAATATGCCAAAAGTTTCAGTGCCAAAAAAAATATCCTTTGTCACTTTCTAATGACTTTGAGCCTCCTCTTAGTTTATAAGTAGCTGGCTTGCATCTTATTTGTCCTATAGAATCACAAGAAACAACAAATACCGTCAGAAAGTTTGTTTGTTTTTTTTATCACCAAATTAAAGGAGATCTTTTTGTCTTATAAGATTGGAGTTAGTTTTGTTAATTAGTACAGTTATATTAATGAAATTAGCTGGCCTGTCAAGTGTTAACTATTAAAGAATTTAAATGTCGATATTACTATATTAGTGTTATGCGTTGCAAATCAATCACCTATCTCAATGTCTCAATAATTCCCTAGGAAAATACCTGAGGTTGTCATTTTGGGTTTGGTGAATATATATCTATATTTATAGGGACTAAATTTACGTAATTAAATTTATATACTTTCATAGGCATTGAAAAAAAAAATTAAAAAGTCAACTAATTTAGAGCTGAAACATTTAAAAATTTCATTTTTTTTGGGGAAAAAAATTATCCAATCACTTAATGCAGAGATTGAATTCTTTTCTCATCTTTATGCTCATGAGAATGCTTATCTCTTATTGGTACCGATCTAGATTTTTTAAAATATAGTTTACATAATTAAATTTATATAAGATAAATGTTATATAGTCTTATGATAGATGATTTTATGATGAGAGTGATATTCGATTCTAAAACAAGCCAAAATCTTGGATGAAATGGATCAGCAGAGACAGAATCATTGGAAGTGAACGTGTTGGAAAAGAAGGTGACTCTTACTTTCAGATTGCCCACTGTTGCTGAAGTGATGCGCCACCGCCAATTAGCTCCGATCACTCGCTCCCCTTTCCCTAAAGCTGCCCTTATCAAACGCTTATTTCGCTCTCTTCACGTCCTTCACTAGTTCTTATCTGGATCTGAATTGTTCATCTCGGATCTGGATCCGACTCTTGTTATTATCTCAAGATTACGGGTCATTTTTACTTGAAAAGTATTTACGAAGAAGTTGTGGGTATTTGAAAATTTTTGTTGTCTCAACGTTGTTTTGAAAATGTTTTCTTTAACACCTATGAGGTTATATGGAGTCATAAAATTTTTTTCGAATACTCACAGTCCTACTATAAATACTTTTAGCACAAAAATGACTCTTAAGCTTTTGATCATATCAATATTTTACATGATTTTGCCTTGTATAGAATAAGTGCTTGAAGAAAAATGTAAAATCTCTCTTTTTCATGTAATTTTTTTTTTTCAACTTTTAAGGCCTTTTACATATTTTTTTTTCTGGCAGAAAAATTAAAGTGAACAGTGGCAAATCACACAAGGGGAAGAAAAAAAAGGCATTTCTTTAGTTTTTTATCCATCACATCGTTGTGATTCCCTACCCTCCCACAATCACGCTCTCTAGTGGTGGGATTAGAATTATGAGGTCTACTAAGTGAATGGACCCAAGTGTTCTAATGATTGAGGAATCTTTCATATTCTCGGTTTTCTTAATCTTTTTTATGTCTTACAATTTTTTGATGTGGAACATTAGTTTCAGAATCTTTTGACGTTAGAGATCCTAATCAAGTCTCGCGGCTTTATTAATTTGGAGCTACTAAGCTGCAGAGGTTAATCTTTTTCTTTTTTTTTTTTTTTGGGAAGATTCTTACATCTAGATGGGATTAAATATTGAGTTGGCTGCGTTAAATGACCTGTCCAGGAGACTATTAAAAAAAAAAGTTATATTTTAATTTTAGCCAAGAGGTTCTAAAGATATATTTACCATGCTGCTGCCACAAGCTAAAACGTGATATTTGGCTTTTTTTGAGGGGGAACAATCCCTGAGTTGTCCTTCATTAATGCCTTCTAGCTACACATGGATGAGCCATGAGAAGTGAAGTTCTAATTAAATGTTACTCCTCTGATCTCTAATATAAAATTATTCAACTAATTTGATTAGATTAAGAAAGTTAGATAAGTTAATTAATTATAAGAAATATAACATGCTCTTCCTAAAATACTACTCCTCCGGTCCTTAATATAGGACCCAATTTTTAAGTTGGTTTTGGTCCTAAATATAAGACCCATTTCTCATATTTATCAATTTTCTCTAAATTACCCCTATGGATACCCCTCAACCATAGTCAAGTAGAAGAGGAAGATGAGGTATTAAGAAAGATGATTATGGTGTTTTAGGAAAAATGTGTTATTTTTCTTATAATTAACTAACTTACCTAACTTTCTTAATCTAATCAAATTAGTTAAATGGGTCTTATATTAAGGACCGGAGGAGTATAATCATCTTTCTTAATATCCTCCCTCTCTTGCTTATTTGCTTATGGTTGAGGGAGTATCACAGGGTAATTTAGAAAAAATTGATAAATATGAGAAATAAATCTTATATTTATGACTAAAATTAACTTAACAATTAGGTTCTATATTAAGAACATGAGGAGTATATTACTTATCAACAAGGCTTATCTATTGGCCAAAAAACAATGAGACCTAGACCCAAAAAAATGGATTTAAAAAAAAAATTTCCACCAAAAAATGACGGCAAAACAAGCCCTATTGATCCAAACATAGTATTCCTTCTGATCCTGGACTATTTAGATACTTACTTTATTCTAATTTAAAATTTAAATTCACTTTGTCTGCTATTTCTGTTAACTGTACATATTAAACAAATTTTCATTATGAGATGATGTTAATGCAAATTATTAAAGAAGGTAATTTAAAGAAATTAGTAAATAATTTAACTAATTTTATTAATTTTTATAAATGAGTGATCTAATTCTCATATTAAAAACTAAAGGGAGTATATGCCAAGTTTTGAAAATAAGGATGCTTTTCAAAGTTGAGTTGGGCAATTCAAGCCATGTATATGAAGGAATGCAGGATTCCTTATATTAAGCTTTAAAATGAAGTGAAGGATCATGAATAAGACCTGTAAATCAACAACTTCCTCTTGCTATTGTCCAAGCAGAATCAGATTCGGATTCCATATTGACAAAAACAAGAAAATCTTCATTGCTTTGGAGCAACCTGAAACGACATTCTTATTCCTAAACCGCACAAAATTGCCATTTCAAAAGCAAAACCTAATTATCAGTGGCCTGGTTGACTGCTTCTATCAAATCTAACTCCATCGCAGAAAAAGTTCACTTATTTTTTCTTCTTCTTGTTTTTTTTTTTTGGGTCAATGTCAATTAGAAGATTAGTTTTTTTCCCCCACTATCCTTAGGATTGCACTAAACTATTTGAAGCAGACCTTCGCTCCATTTTGTGTGGAGAATTGATCTTAGTTATTGAAATATTTTAGATTTAGATTTGCATTGTAAGAAGCATGAGTAGCAAATTTTAGCATCAAGTGTAACTTCTGACTAAGATCTTAGATAGACTAACAAGGTGTTTCTTCTTCCAAACACTCTAGTATTTTGAAGAGCTGTTTGCCAGAATAAATAATTAAAGGGTTTCGGGCATACTTGAAGAGTAGATCAAATTCAGATAGCCACGCAGAGGTCTGGTTACTTTGGTAAACTCAGATCTGTTGTCTCACAATAAATGCATACAGGGAGAGATAGTTACTGAAGGGAGGAGGCCAACTGAGAGAGGGAGGAGAGGAATATGTGCCGCAGTTTTTCTTATTGCAATAAGAAAAAAAACTACCTTCATATACCCCACTCATGTTAACCATTCCCTCCAATTTTCAGTTTAAACAAAAAAAAAAAGAAAATGACAATTCCCAATCCGAATGTCCTGTTATTTGCACTAGAGTCTCAAAATTAATGGGTTTGATCTAATCCATCAAAGGTGGATTAGCCCATTTTCATACAATAATGTTGCCAGCCGGCAAGGCCAAGTACATGCTTCGTCTGAGCGGAGGAAACCATAGCCGACTTTACTCATAATTGAAATCAAACTGCGATGCATCGAAGAACTTCATTTGAAGACTCTCCGACAACAACTTTGACACCATCTGAGTTATGCAGCTTGCTGTTGTTGCTAGAAATGATTAACTAAATTGTGAAGTTAGAGCGTAGAGTCACCACAAATATTTTAGAACTATTTTTAACCTCAATATTTATATCTACTCTTTTGGATTTAAATTTTTCTTAGCTCTCAATTCATCAAAATTATCCAAAAAATTGATTTAACGATAACTAATAGGAACATACGCATGAGCAATAGATATAACTGAAAAAATAAAATAAAAAATATTCATAAATAAAAAATATAAAAAAAGGAAATAAATTAGGGGCTTATTTGGTTATGTTTTCTGTTTTTTTTTTGTCTTCAAAACAATTTTATGAAACTGTTTTTTAAAACAAGTTTTGAGGAAAAAAACATGTTTAGATGATTCTCTGACAATTGTTTGGATGATTGTTCTTAAAAATTATTTAGCCGCATCTCTGGAAACACATAATTGAAAGAATCATATATCACACTGTGGTATAATCACCAATTATGATTAAAAAAAATCAAAATAAATTAAGGAAATTGAGGAAAAAAACTGAAAAATGAACTCAGCCTCAGAACTCTAAAATTTCGTACATTGACTTCCCCACTCTCGAAATATGTGAGGTAATGTTTGGTTGTTTTTTTTTTTTTTTTTAACCGAAGGAGGTAGAGGTGAACTTCCTCTAGCCATTTTTTGGAAGGAAGGGGAGAGAAAAAATATTTGTTGACATATTATTCTTATTTATTTTAAAAATCATAAAAAATATCTAATATTAAAAAAAGTGTGCATTATCTTCCTCTTTCCTATAATAAAACAAAATTTGATTACTTAATAAAATGATAAAAAATAAAAATAAATGTTTTATTGATATATTAATTCCTCAAAAAGTATTATATATAAGTTGTAAGTATTCGTATTCTTAAAATCAGTATTAGGTGAGTGACAAGGGTGCTGAGGGGCCTGATAGTTCTTATTAGGCTCCAAAGGAATGTTCGAAAGAGGTGTGGAATTTGAAAGTACCTCTTAAAGTTGCTCATTTTATGTGGAGAGCTGTAAGTGAGACTTTGGCAAGTAGAGAAGCACTTTTCAAAAGAAAATGCTCAAATTCACCATGTTGTGACATTTGAACATTTGCTATTTTTTTGTCCTTGGGCAAAACAGGTTTGCTTTGGCCGTCCATTGACTTTGAGGCTTGAGGAGAGAGGAATGTGTAGGGTGGATAAATGGTTAGTAGATTGGTTGGACTGCAAGGAGAGACCAGATACCTATGGCTTAGCTCTTTTTGCCACAATTTGTTGGGAAATATGGAAGTCTAGGTGCCAGTGTGTGTCTGAAAGGAAGGAGATGGATGCTTATGAATGTGTGTTAGGAGAATTGGACATATACACAAGAGGCCCAATAATAAGTCTAAGCCCAAGCCCATAACATATTAATATTAATCTGTGCATCTGTATTGTAATTGTACACGTGTAAAGTTTATCCCTATTCTAGGGTTTCACTGACCCTCTATTTATTGCTGTCTCCTGTACACAATCAGTGAGCTGAATACAATATACATTTTTACAAATCCCTAGAACTTTGTCTTGGTATCAGAGCAAGCAGGCTCGCCGCCATGTCTGATTCATTGAATGAAGCTTCATGTGGTTCCCAACTCACCACGCCAGAAACCAACAACAGTGGGTCCAGCTCTGGTCTTTCTGCTTCTTTCCTTGCTAGGCTCACCGAAAAATCCAGCCCTCTCTCTCAAGGGTGTTCTGTCAAGTTGGACAGAACAAATTACTCAGTCTGGCTTACGCATGTTTTGCCAATCATCAAAGGCTACAAGCTTGAGGGCTTCATTAATGGCACCAAGCCGTGTCCGCCACAATTTATCACAGAAAATAATGTTTCTAAGCTGAACCCAGCTTTCGAAGATTGGGAGTCTGCTGACCAGTTGCTGTTCGGCTGGCTCTTGAATACTATGACCCTGGATATTTCCTCTGAAATGACTGGTGTATCCACCTCTACCGGTCTCTAGAATGCTGCAAAGCTGCTTGCTGGAGCGCAGATGAAGTCGCGTCTGCTTATGCTGAGGTCT